GTGTGTGTGTGTGTGTGTGTGTGTGTGTGTCAACAGGGCTTTCTATGGTTGTGTGGACAAATATTGGTTTGAAACCATTGTTGTTTGAGGGTTAACACTTGGTTTTTGCATCAAGGTCAGAACCAGGTGGAGGTTAGCGTTTGGGTAAGGGACTATGAATTGTATTATGTCAATGACAATCCCCATAACTGCTCTCAGACAAGTGTGGGTGTGAGTTTGTGTTTGTCTCACAGGCATGTGTGAGAGAGACAGGAGCAACAATAAACAAGATGAATTAATAAATCACTCTATTCTCCCAGTGTTAGTGTGGGTACAAAACAATTTTCATCTCAATAACCCGAGTGGTACAAACATCAACACCACAGGCTGGTTCTGAGAGAGGACGTGGCGCTGGACATTCAGTGTTTGACTGATGAGGTAATATGGGCAAGAATGCAGGTAATTGCTGTGGAGGATTGGGCCTCTGGGTCCTTGTGGGCTGGCGGTGGGATGAAAACACACAGACAGTGAAGGTGAGCTTGCTGTTTGTCCTTGTATCGACACGCATCCTCTAATCTCTTAATGTTTGTTTACAGGAAATGCAAGTGGAGGAGCTGGCCGCTGTCAGACAGACGTTACAGGCTGACCTCGAGACGTCCATCCGTCGCATCGTGGATCTGCAGGCCGCCCTGGAGGAAGTGGAGTCGAGCGACGAGAGTGACACTGAAAGGTATTTGACTGAAGCGAGGCTCCTGTCCTCTGCTTCAGAAAACATGTCTTTATGTCAAGACTCGACATTTACTCAACTGTACAAATTTAAGGGGATTCAGCTTCGTTTCTTGTTACTTTACAAATGTATATTTTAGAATACAAAACTTTCAAAGAGCGTATACAATATGTTGCTTTATTATAGATGAAATTACAGAACAATTCAATATATACAAATAGACCTCAGCCAATAAGTCAAAAAACAGAAACTTAATTGGCTAACTAATCTTCAGGTAATTTAACATGTAACATTTCATGGTTCTAACTTTTTAAATGTAAGAATTTACTGTCAAACTTTTAAAATCTATTAATAATATTGGTTTTGAGGGACTGATGTCTGGTTGTAAAGGTTTCACTTTGGGTTGATGTGATTTCTCACTATTTTCTTAAACAAACAGAAAAATAATCAGCAGATTAATCCATAATGAAAACAATCTGCAGTTAAAGTAGTTGTTGAGAATCAACCTACTACTACTAACCAACTACAGCAGTAAAATGCTTCTTATACATGTATGCATCAGTAAAGATGCTTCCTCTTACTTTTAATTGAGTAGTTAAGTTTCAGTTTTTTTAATTCAAGGATCTGAGTACTCCTTCCACCTTTGAAACTAAACCTTTCACCGCTCTGCCCTTCACTCCAGCACTCAAACCGCTGTGGAGTCGCTCACTCGAACGAAAGAACTGTAAGAACCTTGTGAATGTATGCACGTCCTCTGTGGTGTGTGTGTGTGTGTGTTTGCGCTTCTGACTTTACACTTTGTTGCTGTACAGTTGTGTGAACATCCCATCAGACCTTTAAGTATCATCATTAAACATTTTACTGGATTAAAACCAAATTTAATATGAGAGAGAAGTTGACATGTTAATAGATCATTTTATTTTTATACATTATTTTTAGTGTTTCCCATCATTTCTGTCATTAATAATGACATCGTACTCACTCAAAGTAATGGCTGGGATCTGCATACACTGTGACATCCAAAGGTTTATGGATCAAGCAGATCATCAGATTATCTGGATGAGAGTTTATCCAGATTACATACAGTAAACCAGTTTGTTGCTTTCACAGGCTCACAGGTTAGGTTAATTGTTTTATTTTAATTATGCCGTTTGTGTTATCAGCAACGTGAGCTCAAGTAATCACTAGTTATTTAACAGCCAATATCCCGGTCACGATAACAACCGGGAGACTGATTACCAATCACACAATTAATCCAACATGATCATGAGCATGGGAATCCTTCTTGTCTCTACCCGCCATCACATATGATGTGAATGTGGCATTAGTGCACACAGCAAGGACCTAATTCCTGAAGGACAGCGGTTTGCCTTCAGTTTTTCCTCCAAATTTATCGAACAACCTGTGTGATCATCCGACCAATTTATGACTCTTGACCTGTCAGACTTGGATCTCATCACACTCAGTTGAGAGCGATTATCACGGTGAATAGAAGTTAATGAAAGTGGCTGTGAATAAAAGTACGAATGAAAACTGTCTGCCCGCACGGCAACTAACAGTCCACTGACCACTGCTGGCTTTAAAAAAAGCAAACATTTTAGTCAATAATGCAAGTCATGACCATGCTGCCGTCTTCATGCTGATATAATATTCAAACCTCATTGGAATGGAACCTGAAAGAAGCAAAATCTCATTAACCATTACACCTAAAGTTTGTGGATTTTCCTTCTTCTGCAGTGACTCAGTGTCCAGTGTTGGTTCTATCGGGACAGAGGATGTTGGTGAGGGGATTCGTCGCTGGTTAGGAGTTCCAAGAGGAGCATCCCGTGGTGCTGGCTCTCCCTACAGCAGCCGCCACTCTATTGCTGACACCATGAGCACCTACAGCTTTCGGTGGGCCCGATATCCAGTGTCCACATTCATATATGTTTGAAGAGCTGCAATGATTATAACCAAATCAGAACTAATCAATAACTATTTTGATAACTGATTAATTGTTTCAGGTGATATGGCAAACATTTTGTGGTTCTAGCCTGTAGAATGTGGCGATTTGATGTCAGTCACATAGGACAGTAAATTGATTATATTAAAGGTTCAGTGTGTAGAATTTAGTGATATCTAGTGGTGAAGTTGTAAAATGCAGCTGGATACCCTTCACCTCACCCTCCCCTTCCAAACATGAAAGAGAACCTGTGGTAGCCTCAGTAGTAGTTGTCATAAAAACTCAAAAGGTGTTTTGTTTGTCCAGGTTGGAGGACTGTAAAAAACATGGCGGCCTCCATAGAGAGGACCCGCTCCAGATGGTAATATAAGGCATTTAATTATAAAGGGGCCATTGTAGGGTAAAGAAAATAACCATTCATAAAATTTAGGTTATTACACACTAGTGAAAACGTCACTATTTTATATCCAATTTCTGCCAATAGATCCTTTCAGCTAAATCTTACACACTGGACCTTTAAGGTTGTGGATTGTTTATCAGTGAAAAAAGCTACTTGAAGAGTACTTTTTTTTTGGCATTTCATGGACTCAACAACTTTAGCAAATAACGTAAGTAATGAAATTAATTGTTGGCTGCATTCCATGGACTTAAATTTGAAGTGTCTCATTTATCCCTCTAAAGTTCTTGCGTGGATCCCGAAGACGAAGGCTCTGAGGCTGGAGGAGTTGGTACCAAAAATCTCGGCCGAGCCCCTTCCTCCTCCGCCCTGTCCGAACTGCTGGATGGACTTCGAAAGCGCAGAGCAGGCGGTGATGCAGGAAATGGAACAGGCAGTGCTATCTCCCTGCCGATTTATCAAACAACAGGAGCATCGACTCTAAGACGGAGAGCCTCTGCCCTCTCTGTTGGTCCCGATGACCTCCAGGAGGTCAGACCTGGACCCAGCATCCTCAAGCCACCTTCCCCGCTCCTGCCACGTGCTGCCAGTTCTCGCTCCATCACTGACTCTCAGGCATCTGTCGGTGCTTCTACAGCTGGAGCCAAGCTCTCTCGCTTCAACTCAAGCGATTCCCTCTCTTCACTTCCTTCGCTGCCTCACCTCTCCGCTTTGGGTTCCTCCCTCACCGCTCGCCATCACCCCCCATCCTTGTCTATCCCTGAGGAGGACCCAGAGGACTCCCATCGCTCTGTGACAACTCCCATCCAGCGCTCCCCACAGCCACTAAGGCGGTGCATGCTGGGGAGTCTCGTCACAGAGGACGGAGGTGAGGGCTCTCTGGGGTCGGAACCCATGGTCTTCCAAAATCGCCGTCTGACGGGTGACAACGGCCGTGACGATGCAGCATCTGACATCCTTCCTGCCATCCGGAGAGCTCAGTCAACCAGCAGCCTGGCAGGCTCCGTGAGAGGAGGTAGGAGGGCGCTGAGCGTCCACTTCGGAGAGCTGCCTCCTTCGACACGCAGCAGGAAAAGCTCTGAAACGGATTCCTCCAGCTCAGGCGGAAGTTCCCAGGGTGGGGGACCAAGACAGAAGTTTGAACGACCACACGGAGAAAGACTGGAGGCAGAGGGCAGCGAGGGGGGCGACGTAGCCTCAGTCATGAAGCGATACCTGAAGAAAGAGGTTGACTGAAGCATAAGAGCTGAGGTCTCAGGTGTGTAGACACAATACATAAAGTAACTGAATTTTAAAGCATCTTAAGCCTAACATGCTAAAATAAAATACAAATAAAAACTTTGTTTGGTTCAAGAAGTGTTTCCTGAAAGCATCATAACATAAGACACTCTATTGGCACGGCTCCATGATCAGTCCATCACTTTGGTTCAGGTCTGAACATTGCTTTGAGATTTGATTCCGACATTTGTGTTAAATATAACACATTACTTTAAAGTAGAAAACTGACATGTGGAGCTCATATCATCGTGTACATGCACCCACTCTTGAGTTCTGATTTGCAAAACATGTAAAATTCATAACACTTTGATAAAAAAGAAGAGAGTGTCTTAAAGCACGGATGTTGGTTTATCCAAATAGAACATGTGATGGATGTAGGTGTAGCATGATTCAGAAAATACAGGCCCAGACCTGTATATGTGGCTGCATATACACATACCCCCCATCTCATGTATCCTCTTTCCTGTTCTAACCATCAGCCTCCTTGTGTGTCCACATCCAGCTGTGAGCTTCAGAGAAAGAAAACTGACGACTGCAGGAGCTGATGCAATCAAGGCTGAACGAAATGCTCCATGAGTCAACAAGGATGTTCCTTTTGACTCTGTAAATGGCCTGAAAATACATTTGTTCAATCCACATGCACTCAATCAACTGTGTTTTCAGATAGTGTTTGAATGTGAATAAAAAACATGAAGAGAAGGTTTTGTGTATTCATCCGGCTCTGGAACGTGCTCCCTATAGATGCACTGTATGAATGTGTGTGTGTGTGTGTGTGTGTGTGTAAAGCACTTTGAGGGGTCACCAAGACTAGAAAAGCTCTATATAAATACAGACCATTTACCCTTGTCACCCTTTTACAGATACTCTGGGTAATTTCAGCCATGCTACCACATTCTGAATCTGTTCCCCTCTTCTCATTCCTGTTTGATCGGATTAATCAGTGTGTAAACTGGGCAGGACATACGCAAGTTAATTAGCTCAAAACACCAAAGCCCAGCATTTACATTACCCTGTGGACTGTAACAGCAGAGAACTCCAAGTCTACTTAGAACTGCTTGTTCCGTTGTAAAGCATCTTCACTGAGCATAAGTATGAAGACGGGATACAGGACAGGATCCCACTGAGTCCAGCCAGCAAACTATTGATGAATGAAGCTGTAGAAGATGGTAGAATGCAGAATGACAGAAATGCAATGATATTTTAAGAACACCATCCAGGGAGTGATTGGCTTGAGGAATGCAAGCAGAAAGATGATGTGGAAATTGTGACTGTAGGGACTCACGCAGCATGGAAAGCGTGGGCATGTATATGTGATAGAGAAAATTGGAAAAGGAGGAAACGGCAGAATCTCACTCACAGAGGAATACAGGCAGAGTGAGAGAGAGGGAAAAAAAACATCTTCCATATTGAACTTTTGCCAACGCTTCATTTATTGTATTTATCTTTCAGCTATTCTTTTTCCAGAGAGACTATTGAACATTGTTCTATTTTACAGCAGCTCTGTGTTTTGCATATTCTTCACTCTTCGGAGCTGTCAAGTGTAATGCAGGACACAGCAGCTGGAGAGGTGAAGGAGACGGTATACCTTGATCAAGGACACAGCCGATAGAGAGAGACCAGGACAGCGTGTTATCCACTTTCTCCAACCTCTCCTTGCAGCCATTTTAAGGATTAAGAATATCAGGGGTCAGGCGTCTGTCCCTCAGGTTACACTCAGGTGAAAAGCTTCCAAACGTCATCCAGTCAACTGCTGCCTTTATATGGGATTGTGAAGGGTTTATAAAAACACCCCTCACCCATTGTGCTAATCACAACCTCGTACCTTAGAGTTTTTCTATTTCATGAGTTGTGATGTATTTACTACCATGTAGGATCATTGTTCATTGGACAAGTTAACATATTGTAACTTGTCTTTATATATTCAACTTCTGAGCACAATGTTGATATATCCTACAGTTTCATCTTTCCCCTGTGACATTAAGCCTTTGTTACCCACCTGCTGAATTGTTTACCTCTGCAGTAGCCATGCTGCTCTTGCTAAATGTGTTAAGGACTTAACTTTTTTTGAAGATATTTTTGGCCGTTTAAGCCTTTGCTGATAGAACAGAGTTTAAGCTCAGAAGGGGGAGAGAGAGCAGGGAAGACATGCAGCATAGGACCAGAAAAAAAAAAACAATAGGGGGACTCAAGCCTCTGTACATTGGGCACCTACAAGCTCATATGGTCAAGTGGCTGGACTTTTTAAGCCACGGATACCGTGTACACGACTTCTCATTTTTGTAACCACAAGCTCATAAATGCACTGGTCAGTCGTAAATGATTTCAAACTGGACCATGCTGCCTCTCCAATGAGTTAAGAGTCAGCTTGTGTCTGAAGGTTAGAGCCAAGACTGTCAGTGCTTCATTGGATATGTTTCCTAGATGTTCACCATTCCCATCTGTTGCTCTGTTGCAGAGCCACAGTTCAGCTTCAGGAAATCCAGTTACAACCATCTGCAGCAGGCAGAACATGTGTGAGAGCAGCAGATGCATGTCTGCCGCCACAGAGCCAAAACCAAAAGCCTCTGAAACATAGCCCCACTACATCCTTCCAGAATCTTGAGATTTTTAATCCTATTAATGTATTTAGAGACTGTAGCTTTTCTAATTCTATTTTCAATTTGGTATTTTGCTATAACATCTATCTACAGATGGTTTGTTATAGTTCTGCTTTGACTCTCAGATATCACTGAAGTGTTTCCAGTTTGACAGGGACTTTTCATCATGCAATCAATCAATGAAAAGTGTTAGGAAATTTCATCAACCACTGGAACATTTTGAGTGGACAAAAAGAAACAAAGGCATGTCCATTCTAATATTATTTTTGAACTACCTCTTTCACTGATAATGTATTTTGTGGGTCAGTATAGTCACATTGATTGAACCTTTACAGATCTGCATCTGGTGTAGATCCAGATCAGGGGGCAGATTAGGGGCCTTCTTTCACTTTCTTCTTGGATCCTGATGAAAAAAAATCTGACATGTTTAGAAAATTTGATGCAGATCCAAATAAAAATCTAATGAATATAAATGGGGTTTCACAAGGGACTATTGGGTCTTTGCTGAAGTATGCAATATACTGGGAGACATTCTTGTTGAATAGATTTTTATTATGATGCCTGAAATAAGGTCAGTTGTAAACACAAGCTCTCACTTTTTATATTTGATTACAGAACATAAAATACGTATGTACAATTTTTTAAAATCAATACATTATAATTATTTCCACCACAGTTCAGGTGATTAATGGGAAACATTGGTATTCTACATTTCCCACAATGCATTCGATAAAATAGTTATAGACCCATCCTACAGTACATGAGTGATGCACAAATCAAACTCTCCACTGTCTTACCACCTCATTGTGTTGATACTCAAGCTCTTCCAAACCATAATAGATTTTCTAAGAATAAAGGCTTTTGTAGAAGAGGTAAGCACCGGATCAATATACAAGTTGGAAGCTTAAAGGTACAGTGTGTAGAATTGAGTGATATCGAGTATTGAAGATGCATGTTGCAGCTGAACACTCAATTTCTGCTAATAGTTCCCTTTCACCTAAATCTTACACACTGGACCTTTAATGGTGGTGACGTTGATTTAGTGCCACCGCGGTGGAAACATCCCATAGGTTTTTTGCGGAGGGAAGGAACTGTCAAGTAGATTTTATCAGCTCCAGACAGGGTTGACTTTACATGACATGACATTAAGGCAGAATACTTGAAAATGCCTGATTTCAGCCGACCCACCTCAGTCAAATGTGTAAGCACAGATATGATACACCCACTCATATTCAGTTTTAGTTACACGTTCTATCACTTGAGTGATAGCTGTCTGTATATCCACTAATTCATAAACACAAACAATATTTACTTATACTGATATTTAAGCTCATGCTGACAGGAATGCCAAATTATATTCAGTGCAGTTTTTTTTAAATTACTGAACCGTCTCTAAAAGAGGAAGAGAGTTGAGTGCCATATATGAAACCTCAGAAGAGCCAATTTTTTAAAAGCCATCATTTCAAACGTTTTCCCTCTGAAATCCTGCAAGGAATGTTGAATTATTGCCACTCTACCAGCTAACCCACTTCAACACCTTGACATATACAGTGTTGTTTACTGATTGGCTTGATGCTTGACACTTGACCTGATTATCTTAAGTGGCTCCTCTGGATTGCAGAATCTGACAGAGATATATTCTGAACCAAAGTGAACATAAGAAGCTCATGTATACATATACAGATATGGATACTGCTTGGAATGACACAATTGTATATGCCGCATGGATCAATGTCCCATTTTGCAAACTTTCAGACACTCGTGGCTGTTGAATAACTTATTATAAACTTACTGTACCTTCCCTGCTGGTATGTTTCTTTTAAAATAGAATAAATAGTTCTACTCTGGCTTCTTTTCACCTTTTTAATGAAATTAAATTCTGTAGTTACTTATTTGATTACAAATAACAAGCCTGGTAAAGGGGAACCCCACAGATTTTGTATGGCTCTCACACTGAAAAGTACAATTTAACAAATTAATAAGTGAACAATATAAAAGGCTCCGTTGCTTCACATTGTGTCAAACAAAGAACCAACCCATCAGGAGTCGATGAGGGATTATTAGACCCTGTGATTGGTCAGTGAGCTCCGTGCATGCTCATGCTCTCATGCACACCCCGAACGAAAGGCACAAACAGACCAACAGAAAACACTTCATGGATTTTTTGATGGTCCGCTGCACCACCGATGCGGCAGGATTTCTCCCGATGCTGCCGATGGCTGGTCCATCAATGACAGTTAGTCAATGTGCTTTGTTTGTGAGAGAGAGAGCAGAATGTATGTGGTGCACAGCTCATGAAGATTTACACTTAAACAACTGGAAAAAAATAAAAGTTTAAATCAATACATTATGACTATTTCCACCACAGTTCAGGTGATTAATTGGAAATGATATCCTACATTTCCCACAATGCATTTAATAGAATATGTTTACTATAGACCCTGCCTACGTTGTGATGCACATGGTCACAGTGATTTTATTAAATGTATCACAGTTTCTATCTACATCTCTTGTATAAATTTATAGATTCAGAAATAGCATAACAATGATATAAGATAAGATGCTTTGCAGAAAGGTGGAAAAGTTCTCTGTAGTACCTGCATTACTTCTGATGCTTCACTAATCTGGTGACTTGAAACTCCATTTTACTCTCACCAGGAAATAAATAACATAATAATATAATAACATCAGTCAGTTGTGGTTAAATAAGTCAAAACTAACCCCAAGGATGTATATGCTGATTTCAATTTCATTTTCCATTGAAAAATGTAATGCTGCTCTGGTTGTGAAGAAAGAAAGCACTGACATCACCCATTGTGTTAAACCTTGACATACTGTTCATATGTGCATCACTTTGTATTCATACATGTGCCTGTGTATGATCTACATTCCTCACATGATCTTTGTGTAGATAATAAACCCATGAACACTAAGCAAGAGAAACAGTTCCCATTACGAGCTGGAGAACAGCTGCACATTTGATATTCCACATCAGTAGGAGACCTTCCTCTTTGATTACATCTCTGCTGCCACCACATTTCTCACTGCTGCTCCCAGTCTGAGCGAAAAAGTATGTATATTGAGTCTGATTGTCCTCACTTG